AGCGATCTCTTATGTAAACAGATGCATATAAAAAATAATGCAACAATAGACAGCATATAAATGAAAACTGCATAATGTTACGGAGTAAAATGTTGATCCAGGAAGTGGTATATGTCTGTGCAAGCTTTGGAGGTGTTGATAGAAGCAATTTACTGGATTTATGCTTTGATAATCGTACTGAATATTACCCAGATGTAGTTTTTGATAAAAATTAGATTTTCTCACCTTTTTGCTCAAAATTATGCATTTTTATGAAACCTACCTATATTCAAGTGTTGATAAAAAAAATAATGCTTGATTTTTTTGTTTAAAAATAGAGGCTCTGATCTTTATTTTGGTGTATTGCATATTCAAATATTCAAACAGCAAAATATTCTGGAGGCCATCAAATTTTAGTGAAAATCATCAAAAATCGCTGGCGGTGGCTGGCAACTTTTTGCAAAAAATGCTGGCGGGGAAAGAATTAAGTGCTTATAATGTGAATTTTCAGTCAAAAATGAGAGTATAAAGTGAGCAAATGATCAAACTTACCCCATCTGGTCCCCCTCCGCCGTTATTCTCGCAGGAAAGCCGGATTAGCTCACGTGCCCTCTGGCCCTCGGCTTGTGTATAGGCCTCTTGGATGTTCTTCAGAGTGGGAGAATGACTCAAGGGAACGCTGCCAACCGCCGACTGCTTGGCTCCCATCTCTGGAACGCCTGCGAATGGGGCATAGCCACCACAAACAAACAAAATACTCAGTACAAGAGAAGGAACCTCATGCTAAAGTGAAGACAACGCGATGGGAAATGAGCTCCAGATACAGGAGGCGAGGGAGCAGCCGGGAATCAGGTCAGCCTCATAAAGAATTCACATGCCTTTCCCCCCAGACTGGTGCGCGTGTATTTGCGGAGCTGCGCTTTTCCACGTTCACCTTTGATGTAAAGAGCACCTACTCAGGGGCGGTGAGATGGGGAAGATCTGGGGAGACTGAATGAATAGTGATACTCACACACGCATGCATGCATGCAGTAAGATAAACGGCTGCAGATTCAAACATGTCTAAAAGCAAACACACACACACACAATCTGGACACAAAACACACAAACTAAAAAAGGAATGTATGCTGGTACTGTAGTTTGCATGAAATATTTTTTGGGAAGTTGGCATGCTCTATGGTGTGGCATGCAAAACTTAATCTAAAACTATTTTATGTGGCATTTTGGTGATTCTTTTGTAATTATTATGCATGTTGTTTTGTAACTCCGTGCTATTTTACAAACTAAATGTAATATTTGTACTTTTAAAAATGTATTTCTCAATGCAAGACCACTTAAAATGACATGCAAAAGGCTGATTAAAACTACTCAAACTGAAAAAAGAAATGGTTTTAAGTCACATGGCCTACACTTCATACCTAAAGGGTAGGCCATGTGACTTAACCTTAATAAAATAAGGTTAAGTCACATTTTACTTTAATACAATAAATGGAAAAATAATAATAAAAATTACTACACCTAAAACTAAAAAGCTTGATCTTGCAATAAATAAATAAATACTACTACTACTACTATACTAATAATAATAATAATAATAATAATAATAACAAAAAAAAAATGTAATTAAATAAAAAAAAATTAAATAAGCACCCACGTCCACTAAAGTTAATCTAAAAATACAGCTAAATATGAGTAAAACGACAGGTATAATTGAAATAGATAGATAAATAGATAGATAAACAGATAAGATTATTTTGTATTATTTACTATTATATTATTTATTCATTTTGAATTAGCTTTATGTTTTCTGTTTTCATTTGAATTTTAGTTTAAGTTTTAGTAATTTTATTAGGTTTGTTTCAATTAAGCTGTAATTTCCTTTTTTTTTTTTCTATTTCAATTTGTACTCATTTTATTTCAGTTAGTTGCCAAGGAAATATTTCAAATGTTCATTTACGTTTTGCAAGTTTTTCCATCTAAAGATAGCATTTTATTTCAGCTTTATTTCAATTAACGAAAGCAATAGTCAATAGAAAACAATTTTAATAGTTCAGACAGTACAACGGAAAGAATGACAGATAGACAGAATGATAGTTAGAATGATAGAATGATAGATAGACAGACAGACAGACAGACAGACAGATACATAACATTATATGACTTCAGAAGCTTAATATATCGCATGAGGCTTTACGGTGGTTTTATGGTGTTATTTTGACAGAATTAAAATGACATTAGGGCGAGTAATTGAGAGTGAATGTTCATTTTAGGGTAAACTTCATTGGTCTTTATTAGTAATATTTAAAGAGCACATTATGAGTTGCCATTACTCATATGGCTGGACTATGGTGCACGGGAGTGTTATGATACCAATCCAAGGGGGCAGTGAAGGTCAAATCAATCACTCCCTCCTATTATTCACATTACTCCATCCAGCCCTTTAACATTTATCTGGCAAATGTGACCACTGGCAGACGCTGCTCCATTAACAGCAGCACTGCTCCGATGTAAAGGAGCCGAGCTGGGGGTAAGTGCCAGTATGGCCGTTCGCATTAATAGAAGAAGCTCATATGAATAATTGAGAACGTTTTTTCTGATGAGCGGCTGGAGAAAGCCTGAGAGAGGGTAACCATTAGAAGACATCCAGCCTGCATCAATACAGGCTCAGCTCACGTCCAGCCCAGACCAAATCAACCAAAAACCAAAGCCAAGACAATAGCTCTGCTCTGAATAACAAGCTGAAAACCTTAAAAAAAAAGTTTAAGATTAAAGTGATTATTACGTTTTGAATATGGATATTTTTCTTACAAAAACGTATTGATTCGCTACAGAAGGCTCCTTAAAGGGATAGTTGAAAATTCTGTCATCATTTATCCATTTAAACAGTTGCCGGTAGCCATTGATGTATTATGGAACTCCATGGAAGTCACTGGCTACCAGCAACTGTTTAATTACCAACATCCAAATGTCTTCTTTTGTGTTCAACAGAAGAAAGAAACTCATGTAAGTTTGGGACAACTAGAGGGTGAGTAGAGTTTTGAGAGAATTTTCATTATACCTTTAAGGCATATACTGTAACTTCAAATTTATTATTTACATTTAGTCATTTAGCAGACGCTTTTCTCCAAAGCGACTTACAAATGAGGACAATAAAAGCAGTCAAAACTAACAAAAGAGCAACAATATATAAGTGCAAATGACAAGTCTCGGTTAGCCTAACGCAGTACACGTAGCAAAGTGTGTGTGTGTATATATATATATATATATAATACACATATACACACACACACACACACAAAGGAAAAAAAAGTAGATAGAATAGAAAAAATTGAAAGCTAGTGTTTTTTTTGTTTGTTTTTTTTCAATAAAAAAAGAAGATAAATATAGATAAAGTAGAATTAAAATAGAATAGAATGTGCTAGTTATCATGAATATGATTATAACAAGTTCTGTGTAAAATCCCTTTTCAACTAATCCCATTTTGTGTATATGTGTGTGTGTATAAATAATGTATATGTATATATGTGTGTGTGTGTGTGTGTGTGTGAAATTCAGCTTATCATCAATCACAACTCCATGGTTTCTAGCTGTTTTTGAAGGAGTTATGGTTGATGAGCCTAACTGGATGGTGAAATTTTGATAAAGTGATGGGTTTGTTGAAACCACAAGCAGTTCTGTCTTAGCCAGGTTGAGTTGAAGGTGATGGTCCGTCATCCAACAAGAAATGTCTGTTAGACATGCTGAGATGCGAGAATACTTTTCATTAAATACTGAAAAGTATATATAAAAACAGCAGCTACATTCTTAAATTAAACACGGCCTATTTTAATTTTGTGTGTTGTGTATTTTTTGGAGTTTCCATGCCATTAACTCAGTAACATGCTAGAATTAGCTTTTATTTTAATTTTTGTTTAAGTTTTAGTAAATTTGTTGTCGTTTTTTTTATATTTCTATTCATCTTAAAATTTCGGTTTTAGTCATTTTAGTACTTCAACTAAAGGCAACATTTTTATTTCGGCTTGGTTTAAAGTTCATCATCATAAAAGTTATCATCTTCTGTAATATTTATTTTTTGCTTTATTTGGAGTTTCTCTGGATGTTATGGGCTTTCAACTGACTTCCTCTGATCAACAGACCATAACAGCTTTACAAAACACATCTAAAACTGTGATGCTTTCATTTATTCACACAAAACTTTCAGTGCTGGACAGATTCCAGGTCATACACAAAAAAAACGGTGTTATCATTTTCCTAATGGTATTATCATTTTGTTTCTTACAAACATGCAGCTTTTCACTTCACAAGGCATTAACTGATGGACTGGAGTGGTGTGGATTACTTGTGGATTATTGTGATGTTTTTATCAGCTGTTTGGACTCATTCTGACGGCACCCATTCACTGCAGAGCATCCATTGCGGAGCAAGTGATGCAATGCTACATTTCTTCAAATCTGATGAAGAAACAAATCTACATCTTGGATAGCCTGAAGGTGAGTAAATTTTTAGCAAATTTTTTTTGGGTGAACAATCCCTTTAATGTGATTCAGTTTGAACTCTCAGTTTCAATGAATCAATTTAAAATTTTAATGATTTTATATACAAATATATGTTAAATGTATTCAAAACCTGAAAAATATCAAGATGTAATTTTAGCTATATCTCTCAACTCTAAATGTGACGGCAAACCTCTTAAATTTCATCCCATTAACACATAAATGAAATGAGTTAACACTTACTCAGAATCTGCTGATTAGATCAGTCATCTAACTTTCACTTTTTCATTCGTTCTCCAGTGTAAAAAAGATCTTATTTAATCACCTTTAAACCCCTTAAAATATAGAAATTGTTTACGAGACACTGAAATCTTGCCGAGTTCAAGACTACTAACTTCTAAGAAAAGCACAAGCGATCAAGACCATTCAAACCACTTGAAAAATCAGACAACGTGAATGACGCCAAAAAAAAATGAAGTCTGAGGATGATCAGAGAGACTAAAAAACAAAAAATAAATGACTTTATAGTTAAAGCACAATCTCTCTTATAAGTTCAGAGAATTGTCAATGAAAGGTTCGCCAATGCGATCACTTCCTAACCCCCGATTTCTACTGTGAACACTGACCCGAAACGCTGAAAAACGAGACGTTCACAATGCAAACGTACCTTATCATTCTGCCCGGATCTATCCAGCGATCATCTCATTACTGTGCTTCAGGAGCCCAGACTCGATGTATGTCCAGCACCTGTGAGCATTAGCCTGACTCTGTGCCTATAGAGCGGAATGACTCCCGTCTCCTCCCTGCCTGTTGTCCTTAATGGCAAGGTTATCTTACACTGCAAACACATTAAAGAGTGAAACCCAACCCTCCCTGGCCGGCTGCTGTGTCTCTGTCCCTCCCTAGAGGACCTCAGATTGCGTTTGCAGTTACAGCTCAAGCCGCGCTAAGCCAGATTAGCACACTAGCCTCCTTCTGCAGCGTGTGTTTCTGTCACACGAGACCAGACGACACACTCAATCACACACACAGACGTGACGGGACTCAGACATGAGCCACACACCAACAGATGCGCGCAAACTCAAGGTTGCTAATGGTAACCGTGTTGCTGATGCTGAACCGGTGGGAAAAAGGAAACCCAACACCTACGGCATGAGGTTTCACCTCTGGGGGGATATCGACTGTTTTTTGCGGGATGCTTGCTTCATCGGTTTTCTGGAAAAATG